TAGATCAGAAATAACAATGATATGAATTCATAAGTTTATATCTATTTTATCTCTTCCATGTCCTATACAATATCTAATATCTATGCACTAGGATATTAAAATGAAATATGTGCCAGATACTTTACTTTTTTTTTTTTTTTTTGCAGTTTTTGGCTGGGGCTGGGTTTGAACCTGCCACCTCCAGTGGAGCCAGCGCCCTACTCCTTTGAGCCACAGGCACCACTGGGCAAAAATTTGTTTTTTTTTATAGGAGGCAAGATAGTGAAGTGGTAAAAGGCATAAATTTTGAAGCAAGGAGCTAACAAATAATTATACTCAAAGAGCTAACAAATCAAGAAAAGAAATTTTTAAAAGGAACTAACAAATTAGAGGAAGTTGTCCATGAAAATCTGCAACATGAGACAATGTTATATTTATAAACAATATAATAGTTAATGCATCAATTAGGAATCTTTCAGTTTCAAATTACAGAAATCACCTCTAGCTATCTTAGGCAAAAAAGTTATCTCTTGAAGGTATATTAGGGACTCAGAGAAGGCTGTAGAAGGCCGAGGACAAGTTTGGAAAGCAAGCAGAAGCCGAAGGAGCTGCAAAGGACCAAGTAGCAGGGGGCACATCTGTCTTAGCAATAATATGAAAGGACACTGCTACCTGAGGATACCAAGCTGGAACAAATTCTAACAATGTTTGTGGACACTGTCTTCTGACAAGACTTCCACAACAGAAAGACCCCCTAATGGAAAGTGCTGCTGGATGTCGGAGAGCCAGGGGAGGGGGGACTCTCCACCTAACTGGTCCTGAATGCTAGTAGGCACTGTACTGAGTGAAGCCAGGCATTGAGGGTTTTATTTTTTATTTTATTTATTTTTTTTGCAGTTTTTGGCCAGGGTTGGGTTTGAACCCACCAGCTCTGGCTCACCCTACTCCTTTGAGCCACAGGTGCCGCCTGCATTGAGGGTTTTCAATAGAGTGCCTCATTAATCTTCACAAGCATCATGTGAGGAAAGTAGACTAATTACCACATCTGTTTTATAGATAAGACAAACACGTTTGGTGAGGTTAATGCTCCTAAGAACACAACCAGCAAGTGGTTAAAAAATGTAATTTAAACATAGAAAGTTTGATTTCAGAAGCTAGGTACACAGCTACTAGTTCTTCCAAGAGGAGGAAAAAATCCCATTACATCTGGCTAGGAGTTCAGAAAAGACATCATCAAGTAGGTACTTTTTTTTTTGAGACAGAA